GAGTAGCCCATCTTTGAGGCAACAAAATAGCACAATCAATGGATGTTCAGAAAATAACCTGGATGACAAGGACCTGCAGACGTTTGTAGAGGTAGAAGTGGAGGAATTGACAAGGAGGACGGGTCTGAGCCATGGTTCAACTCCAATGTGGGATACAACATTTAATATGGTTTTACATGATAATACAGGAATTGTTCGCTTCAATCTTTATGAGTGTCCCTCTAGTGGTGTCAAGTGTGACCATCTAGCAAGTTGTGAAATCAAGGTACTGTCATATATGTTCTCCTTTTTGACATCACACTGACTGTCAATAAATATATATATTTTTTAACTAGCCCTTTATTTTAATCTCTTTGTGGTAACTGCTTATCTTCTACTATTCTATGCTAACTTTGTTTTGGCTTTAAGATGAGGCATGTTGAAGATGATTCTACAATAATGTGGGCAATAGGACCTGATTCTAGTATAATAGCAAAGCATGCAAAGTTTTGTGGAGATGAAGTTGAAATTGTTGTTCCGTTTGAGGGGACCAACACAGCAGAGGTACAATACTTATGACCCATGAAATAATTAGTTCCTTTTCTTCTGTCATACTCTCTTTGCTTTATGACAGAGCAATTTGTTTTTCTTACACTATTAGCGTTTGGTTTTCATCTAATCAGAGCTTACAATGCCATTCTTCTTTCCTAATAAAAGTATAAGTGCTGTATAAGTACTAAGAAACAAAATTGTTTTATCTTTTCTGAATGACAATAAAACTATTTGAATAGTTATCTTAACTCTTAAAATCGATTTTTTAGTTAAAGGTGAAGATTGTAGTAAAAGAGTGGCAGTTTTCTGATGGTTCGCATAGCTTGAACAACCTCCGTGCTAATTCTCAGCAATCACTTATTGGATCATCAAGTCTTCTGTCAAAAACTGGAAGGAAACTTAAGATAACTGTTGTAGAAGCAAAGGATCTCGTTGCAAAAGACAAAGCTGGAAAAATTGATCCATACGTTAAATTGCAATACGGAAAGGTTAGTGACACTGGTTTTCTATTGAATACTTCGTCATTATATAAACCGTGGTCAATGTAAGTTCATATATCTAATTCTGTTGTTGATAATCTTTTCAGGTTATCAAGAGAACACAGGTTGCTCCTCCTCCTTCTCCTCCAAATCCTGTCTGGAATCAATCATTTGAATTTGATGAGAGTGGTGGTGATGAATACCTAAATGTAAAATGCTTCAGTGAAGAAATTTTTGGTGATGAAAATATTGGTAGTGCAAATGTAAATTTGGAAGGACTTGAGGATGGGTCAATCAAGGATGTATGGATCCCTCTTGAAGGAGTGAGTTCTGGTGAATTAAGACTTAAAATTGAAGTAGTTAGAGGGGACGACCAAGAAGGATCAAGGGTATGCTTCGTCAACTGGAAATTAGTGATTCTTTTAAACATATTAAAAATAAAAAGATTTACTAAGCTAATACCTGGTCTAGAAAAAATGTACACAAAATTATGTGATCACATGCACTAATCCTTTGATATACACAGGGTTCAGTCAGTGGTTGGATAGAACTTGTTGTGATTGAAGCAAGGGATCTTATTGCTGCTGATCTTCGAGGGACAAGTGATCCTTACGTGAGGGTAAACTATGGAAACCAGAAGAAAAGGACAAAGGTTAGAATTAGAGTACTCCGCATCGTTTCTTTTGCATTAATTCTGGCACAGTAATGGTTTTAAATTGTCATGATTTCTTGTGTCTTTCATGTTTTCCTCGGCATTTGCACGTTGTTAATATTTCACTCTAGGAAAACTTGATTGCTCACTAGGTTTCATGTTTTCCTCGGCATTTGCACGTTGTTAATATTTCACTCTAGGAAAACTTGATTACTCACTAGGTGTGTATGGGCATTCTGGTAGGTTATACACAAAACTCTCAACCCTCGTTGGAACCAGACCTTAGAGTTCCTTGACAATGGAAACCCCTTGATACTACATGTTAAGGACCACAATGCTTTACTACCCACATCAAGTATAGGTGAATGTGTCGTGGAATATCAAAGGTTGCCTCCAAACCAGATGTCTGACAAGTGGATACCTCTCCAAGGAGTGAAAAGTGGTGAGATCCACATCCAAATTACAAGAAAAGTTCCAGAGGTGCAAACAAGACGTATTCTAGATTCTGAATCTTCTTCGTTAAGTAAATCACACCAAATTCCTACCCAGGTGAGAGAATCCTGCATGTCAAAAAAATGCTTATTTTGTATTCAACATGTGAAAGGCAATGCATATTGAATATTGATATCATTTTCACAATTCTTTATCCATATTCAATTAGTAGAAATTGTTGGAAGGTCCACATTATCTGTCCCAATTTTTAGAGTGCAGATTATATATCTATTTGACAACTTCACTTAAATGACAATTAGTTTTAAAATGAAATTTAACATAATATCAAAGCCTTTTAGTCCATCTTGGTAAATCGACTTTTTTGGTAGGCCCGTTTGTTTGGCAAACATTATATATATATATATATATAT